ACGCGCACCGGGCCAGTCCTCTGCGCTTCCAGGTCCGTAAGTACGGCCTGTGCCTCAGCGTCGGAGAGGAAGTCGTCGATGACCTTGATGGAAGACAAACACGTCACATCTGCACTCGCAAGGGCCTGTGCGAGCAGAAGAGGTGCCAAAAGCCAGGATGCAGCCATGTGTGAAGCCAACGCGAGGATTCCGAACACAGCTTCTCAAGGTCGCTCGAACCGCAATGACTCTAGCCGCAACCATTTCGAATGGGAACCACATCATACTTCCCCTAGAAAGCACCGTTCTATGAAGGTCTTCGCCTATAAGGACCCTGAACTCTCGGCCAACCCTTGTAGATCTTATCGAAACGAAAAAGAACCTGTGTTTGGGGTATTTTCGCACATGGCCTGAACGCTTGTGACAGTGCGTAGGTGCCAGAAATGTCAAACATGCTTCTGCAGTGTGCCGTAGAAAAGTGGTGCAGCGCTGTAAATACCGATGTTTTGGGCATGGTCGCCGTTAGAACAGACATCATTATCCCCATAGAATCATCCGAACTTTCCGGAAAATGCTGGAAAACCAAAAAATGAGTAACACGCGCCCTATGCGCCCGCCACCACATGCTTCCTCTTCTAACAAGACAGCACTCACCAAGCCTGTGTTCGACCAGCAATACTGTCAGTGTGTTCGGCTAGCGCGCCAGAAGAGCTGTTGAGTCAACAGGCTTACAGGGACGCCTCCCTCACTTCCCAGACTCCCAGACTTCCTAGACATGCTCGAACTTCTGGTAAGGTCATCCGAACATGTCGAGTTGAAGCCGTGGAAGCGGAGCAAGGCCTGGATTGTCTGCGCATCATTCCCAGACTCTAAGACGAGCACCTGGCAATGCGCAGAAACCCACACAGCCAAAGCCTCGATGTGCCCGCAGGACGGCCTCCTTTCGAATCAGGTTTGGAGCGCCAGCCCAGCTGGTCGGCAAGCTGGTGGGCAGAGAGCCTTTGCTGCTTGAAGGAACATGATGGGAAACGCCTTCACGAGAGCTAAGCCCGGCACCCTGCCACAGATAGCAGAAGCTACCTTGGCTTGAACCAACTTCACCAGAATCACATTGCCCCACGTCACACGTCTTAGTTGCCCGCATATGAAGGCCTGAGACCGTAGCATGGCGACTCGCCATGGCTCGAGCCGAGATCGTCAAAGACAATTCAATTTTGAGAGGAGTCATCTCATCTCGCACAGCTCGCCTCCCCTCGCGCCCCTGCCACACCACTATAGGATTCGCTGCGCTGTCCGGGCCTCTGAAACTCTCGGCCGCGGCAGATCCAAGGCGCCTTGCGGCATTGCATGGATTCGCTGCGAAGCGCCGCGCCCCGTCGGCCCGGCATGGGCCACGGCGGCTTTGCCTCCATGGGGCACAGCCGCCTGAAGAGGCCTTGGGCTAGCGCAGCGCCGGGCTGCCTCCGCGTGCGAGCGAAAACCTATCGCTCACAGCCGCTCACATGTAAAGCGAACATGCCACGCTGACCAGCAGCCCAGCACCTCTTTCTGCTCTTTGGCCTCGGCCTCCCTTTCTTCTGCGAACTCCGTGGCCACCTCGGTTCGATTCGGCATGGCCAACCGACTGCTTGTCGCAAGAGTTCACGGGCCTGCCGAAGTTCGACATGAGCTGCATGGGACCAAACCTCAGACAAACGCACAAACCCAAGCATTTCCACACATTCAGATTTCCCATGGTTTTTTCCAGACCTGTTTCGAAATGCTTTCAAGTCGTCATCTGTTATCCAGATCCACATCTCCAACAAAGCCTGTGAGGCCAGCCGCCGGCCCTCGTCATATCGACTCAGCCAGCCGCTTCAAAAGTGGTCACACGCTGTCTCGCAAGCCGCACATCATCTTCTGCCTGCAGCGACCAAGGCTTCGTGCATCCTGGCTCTTTGCGAGACACCCCACTTCGACACGACGAGTGGGGACAAAGTCGACAGGTGGCGGTTTAAAGTTTCGGCCCGGGTTCAGAGCGAGCCAGACTCTAGAACAGAAACTCGGGAACACTGACTAATCAAGCAAGAACGAGAACCTCAAACCTTAGCCCAACAATGAGCGGGTGCAGCAAACCCTCCGCCCTCGAACCGAGCGGCGTGGCCCTCAGACTCGGAAGCATTGAGAAACGGCAAGCCTCAACAACCTGGACCCCTGAATCAGGTGGGGAGTGGCTCCATTCTACACCCGACTGGATCCCATAGGAGATCGCGAACTGACGGAAGAGAGTGACAAAGCTTAAAATGCCTTAAATTATTACGTAAAACATGAAATACATCGGAAAGGAGTGCCGCGACTCAACCCTAAATCAGGAAATTATGCCACCCGCTGATCAATCAAACCTAGATTTGAAAAGTTTGCCACAGAGTACACAGGGAGGCGCGCTGAAGTCCTTGCAAACGGAACTGGAGAGGAGAGTAGCATGTTTCAACACACAGCTTGCCCAATGCAGTGAGGAAATGGGGCCCGGCAGTGGGCGGGGACTAAAGACCTGGGGGTGCAAGTGTTGGAATGGAGTTTGCTTCAACTTCTTTTTCTGTCTCGGCACCGGCAGCGAAGCCACGTTGGAGCTGGCACAATCCATTCGGGTGAGCGGGCCGGGAAAGAGACAAAATGTGACGACAAAGGCCTCGCGGCTGCAAAAATGCTAAGACTGTTCTCCCGCCTGCGCCCTTCGAGCCTCCAAGTTGCGAACTTCAGCTTGGCGCTCCGACAGCGCAGTAGCCTCGGAGTATCGAAGACGTGCTAACATAGCTGCAGCGATTGGCTGATGGCCAGAGGAAAGCTGTTGCAAGCGTGGGTCCAGAACCCCGGCCTCACGGACTATCGCTACGCCGCTGGGTAGGGGCACGGCCACATAGAGAGAGGAGAGGCCAGCAGGAGCGCAGATTAACATGGTTGGCTTGTGGCATCGGGCTGATCGTTCGAGCCTGGTGATCACCTCTAGCGGCTGCAAGTCTCGGTGGGCTCCAACTGCCAGCTGCAAGGCTGGTCGCGACCACTGTTGGGATGTGCTGCTGCTACAGAAGAACAAGATCGCATGCCGTCGGGGCTGATCTTCGTGATCTGACCCGTCTACTGCTGTTGGCAAGTAACAAAGCGAGAAGGGCACATCATGATAGCCTCTGGTGGTGAAGCTTTCCGCCTCACTTACCTTGTCGTTTCTTTAGTGTTCTGGTCGACTTGGTGAAACAAGCATCGGACTCTCCGCGATTTCAGGTTTCCAGAGCTACGGCAAACATGTGCCACGGCAGGTCTCACGTGTACTGGGCCCGTCGCAAGGCTTGCGACCTCCAGCGCAGCAGGACGACTTTCACCAACGGCAAGAACCATGCCAGCTTGTCGCCATGGAGCTGCTGGCAGACACGATGCAAACGTATCAGTCACAAAAAAGGACGATCGAGAGTCTAGCGCGCTCTCACCCTACCCTGCGAGCCTCTGCGTGCAGCGATGATGGTGCTCCATGGTCCTTCCAGTCGCAAGCGGCGACAAGAAGGACCGTCCCGGTGTCGAATTGAAGCGAGCAAAGCCGGTCGCTTGCGATCTTCGGAAGCCAAGGTTAGGGAAACTTCTGCATGTTGCGAATCGGTGAACCGCACGGTCAAGCTACCTTGACGAATTGGACCCTTGCTTTGCAGGTCGCTGTAGGCTGAAAGCTCAGGTCTGCTTAGTAGCTCCCAGCACATCATACATCAAGCAGGCACAGTTTAAATGCAGGTCAGCGTTGCTGCTAAGGAGCTAAGGAGAACCTGGAAGCCTGCGGGAGCTCTGCAATTCCAGGCCTCTGCTGCTTCGGCACCTGACCCGGGCTCATCTTCATCAACGCATCGGCAGGCAGCCACTGCAACTGGCAAGCCCACGCATGCAAAAGTCGAGCCATGTCGAGCCCCGCACCAAGAAGCTCCCCTTCCGCCTTGCGCAGTACGGCAGGAAAAGGAACTGAACACGTAGCTGAGATTCGAGCCTGTGCCAGCAGCAGCTCAGCTTGCAGTTGCGAGAGCCTGAAGACTGGTTATGATTGATTTGAATAGGGAATTTCGCTTATTTGGCCCTGTGTCCGCATATCGCGATCCACATATCTGAGGCGCCGCGCAGTCTTTGGCCCTCGATCAATTCGGTGACTTCACCCTGAGCACTGATTTTCAAGCCGATGTTCTCGACAAAGCAGTCTTTGATGCTTCTTGGGCCTCATCTGGAACCCCATCTGGTGATTCCATGGCCAGCGCTTGGTCCAACTCGGCGATCTGCCGTTCTAGGCCTCGAAGGCATGAAGGTTTGAAAAGAAGCGCTCCGGGCACAATTTATGTGTAGGTCCCAGGCGGCTGATGTCCGCGCATTGCAAATTCCTCGCAACCTGCACTCGTCACTCAAACACACCGCAGGCGGAAATATGGCTTAACAACTCAAGCCAGCGACGCCTCTGGCGTGGTCTGCAAGCTGTGTAGCTCTTGTGCCTGATACAATCAAGCTTCCGCTCTTGCAGGAACTTGTGACCGTAGATAAGAGGAAAAGGGCTAGGCTCGACTAACGCTGCTCACGAATGCGGCTTTGTTCGGTAAAAAGGTAAGCATGATCGCGCAATACGATCTTCCCGTCGCAGTCTTCCGAGATTCGTGCCTCTCTCTCGCTTTGTGTGGACACGATACCGCTTGTCCAGGCTGCACATGATCATCGTGCTAGTCGTGTTCTACGACTAGGGCTCCACTTCCGGCTTCAAATCTAATCTGTCTCCGGCAAACCTTGGACTCCATGCACCCCGTTTGCAAGCATCGCTGTTGTGGTTGCCTTGCCGCTGTCGCCAATGGCTCGTGCCCGCTGCTGCCCAAAACCCCGAGTTCTGAGAGCTTGATGAGCTTGGTCTCATGGTCTACTGCATGGTCTACTTGGAAAGGAGCTGCTGGCTGCTGGAGTTGATCCTTGCGTGCATAGAAGGCGGCCAAGCCGCCCTTTTATTGTTTAGTTTAGTTTACGCCTAAGCTCACGACAAAACGAGCTTTCTGTCTTCTGTGCGCTTTCGCTTCAATGCAAGGGCAAAGCAGGGCAGGGCAGGGCCGGAGAGGCATGGGCTTCCCGGGAATGCAGATTCGGGCTTGCAGTCACACAGGCCGTCAAAACACATCTGTACATGCTGACCCATATGTCGTATGGTAGGGTGGATGTTGCTTCCTCCCATGCAAACAGGTGCCTTTGAACAAACCGCGTTCCCCACCTCAGTGAGCACGCGCCGCGGGGCTGCCGCCCTCGGCTTGTGCACAGCTTTTGGTCTACGTCGCACACCACTTCTGGAGGCCAGCATTGCAATGCTGTCTGTTTTGTCGCCTTGCCCAAGCAAGACTGTGCGGACTATACAATCAGACTCAAGGTAGAGTGCATCTTGCTCACGAAGCTCTGAAATCGATTCCAGTTGGCTCCATTCAGCAGGTCATTGCCCAAGCGAAGGTAAGTAAACACCTGCATGCCTGAGGTTTCTCACGAAGTGTGCACATGGTCTCTTATTTCGATCAGCTGCCCCGGAACTGAACTTGCCTGACTTGTAGGACTCGATCTTGGAATAAGCAGTATCATCAAATCTGGGTAGGGCATTTTCTCCACCCAGGGCGATGTCGTGACTTGCAGTTGCCGCCATCACCTGATCGGGGTGTCAGTGTATCCGGCGTCACCGGATCATCGTGATAAATCCAGGCCTGCTTGACGAGCTCCTCCGGGCCGGAGGCACAGTCAGCGGACTGCTCCGAGTCGGCCATCTCCTCAGCTGTCACATCAAGACATCAAGTGGGGGCACCACAGAGCGCAGCCATGCGCAGCCTCTAAGTCTCAGGCCATGCAGGTGAAGTCCACGCCTGCACCTGCAGCCTCGAATATCGCAGAGATGGAGTCATATGCATCGATGCCGTTGGCGTTATAGTAGCCTGGTCATGTCGCATCCAACGGAATTTCAAAGAGCAAGATCCACGGTGGGCTCGTGTGGAATTGACCGTCCGGGCCTGAAGTAAGCTCGGCAGCATGGTGATCGCTCTTGTACCACCAGTGGATCCCAGCAACCTTGCCTGCCAGACGGACACCCGAGCTTCCGAATGCCTCAGCAGACAACTGAAGCCCGGTCTTCACTCAGCCCGCTCTCGAGGCTTAGAGCCTTACGGGCCTTACATCTTCACAACGAAAGCGGCTGAAATGTCTCTCAGGTCACTTGCTTGGCGCGCTGGAGCACCTCAGCGCCATGCTGAAGGAGTGCCTCAGCTCTAGGGTCGCAAAGGAAAGCTGGAATGGGCCTTGGGCCAAGCCTTTGCCAAGCTTCATCGCCATACCACTTCAGAAAGAATCTGCCGAAGTCTGACTGGTATCCGTTCTGAAAAAATGCTGCATCACCTGGCACTTCATCGGATGCAAGCAACCGCACTTGAAGCTCGCCGCTGGCCCCCGACGGAGCTTTGCCTGGGTGGCTGTTGTAGTCCCCAGCATCTGAAGGGGGACTGCTCCAATCAGCATGTCCTTGCAGCGTCTGCTGTGAAAGCACGTGTTCATTGCGACATCTGCCAGGAACTTTGCGAGAAAGCTTGTGTGGCGAATGGCTATTGCGTGGCGCTTACTTGCAGCGTGCTCTGGGCACACGGATGAACGGGCACATGCTGCGCATGCGACTCCCAACTGCATCTGGCAAAGTGGATTGACCCGCTTCTGCTACCCCGTCTCCTGCACTCTTTGCAGCCCTGGCCAAGCTGTTGAGAGCATTGGCATCGTAGCATTGAAAGGCACCGACGCCACAGAACTTCCACTGAGAAAGCTGATAGGCCTGGGCTCAGCTCAAACGCACAGACACCTCAAGTACTGCTAACTTGTCACCAATTTGCGTACAAGTTACAGGATATCTGAGCTCGCCAGCAGGCCCCATGCCCACCTGCATGTTTTGAAGGAGCTGGTTGTTCGTCTACGAACACTCAACGCACTCAAGCAGTGGTATTTTGAGGCAACTGGATCTGTACTGCTGAAGACAGTCACCTGCAAAGAACTACCTAGTGTTGCATCAAGCTCTCGACCTAGACCCCGCGGGGTCGTCTTACACAGGTCCTAGCGATATGAAGCGTCTGAAATTGTAAGCTAATGCTAAGCCTGCTAAGCAAAATCAGTTTAAGTTGTCGCAACTTCGATCTGCTCTCGATCGGCAACATTCGGCAATTACAATTACAAACTTGCTTACATAGCGCTTGTGCTGCCTTCTGCATTGTGCAACCGCGCCACACGCACAAACATGCGATGGGGACGTTGGCGAGCCACCCCGAAACGTACTCAGACGTCGATACATGCAAGCACCTTCTGCCCGGAGCAACTTCTGTAAAAAGCTGCATCGGTATTGCAATGACCGATGCTTATATTCGCAGCACCAAGAGCAGCAGCAGACAAGGAACATCCACGCACATGCCCAAACCAGACCCATCACCCACCTGGATCTCCTCAATTACACTGCCTCGAGAAAAGATCGTCCAATGTTGTAAATAGCATTGGCTCGTGGCCTCCTTAACACCTCTCCGCCCAGTTGCCTAGATCTGCCGCAAAGTTCGACGAAAGCGCGTTGAACCAATCGCTGTACATTTGCAAGGGGGTGCGACCTGCTGCAAAAAGTCCTTCAAACTAAATCTGCTCGAAAAGCTCCGGCCTTCAACAGTGACATTGTCAGCAAAAAGAGATATGTATTCTCTGTCTTCATGGCCATGCTGGTCCTGCCAGCCAGGAGACAAGCGCAGCATTGACAGCAAATGCATCTTGTCTGTCCTTGTACCAAATGTCCCGCTGAGAAGTCACAAAAGCAGGCAGAGGAATGTCGCAGGTGTCGCCCACATTGCCGCCGCATTGGTGAAAAGAGGTCACCAGCTGCACCTACCACGAGGCATCGGAATCTCGTCACTGGTCACCCATCCCACCAGCAACTAGCTGAATCCAGCTGGGACCCAGGATGGCACAACACCTCATGCCGGTGGGCTCCGCTCGTATTTGTTGGGAGGGTGGTCTTCACAGCTCATTTCCTGTGCTTGAACATTTGGCATCATCGGCCCTTCAAAGCATTGGTATTACCAAGACCAACAGACTCTCAACATGCTAGCTGCACAAACGAATGAGAAGTGCAACTGGTGCCTTGCCTTCAGGCCAATGCTCTTGCACATGTCGACGAGCTGCTTGTATCCGTCAAATCTGTAAGATTTTGCAGTTGGTTCGGTGGCACCCCACCACACATCTGCCATGATTCCGTCTGCACTGCCACTCTTCCTCACGATCACGAACTTTCAAGATCATGCACCAACACACTCTTCATCGAAAGTCGACCGCACTGTCGGCACTGCCCCTGTTGTTGCTGCAAAACAGCTTGCCCAACCATGGACACTCCCAAGCAAAACGAAATGCAAGAGAACAAAGCGACAGTTGCTCGGAAAAACCGTGGAACGAACGGCGCACACCGTAAGCACAATGCATGCAGGTCGAATGTCTGTGCAGGTATGTTAGGTGAGAGTCCCCAACTCTCTATCTTTGCACTTCGATAGATAGATAGATAGATAGATAGATAGATGGATAGATATGTACCTTCAACTTCTACAGCCATAAAAGGCTAATGACTAATATAGATATAAATACACTCTAGTCAAGCCGAGTTTTTGCAATCTTGCTGGACCCCACGGTCCCTGCATGGAAACACATGTGACACCAAAGCATTGGCACCGTTGTGCCTACCTAGTCATTTTGTTCCTGATAACACGATTGTGTTGTATTTGATTTCGATCTTTCGTCGCAAGATCCAGTACCCAGGACTTCCCGAGCAATCTCAGAGAGAATCTCGAATCTTGGCACCCCAACATCGACCAGACCGTCTTCAATCAGGCGAGGAACAGGCCCGTATTGACTCACAATTGGCTGCATTACACAACAATAGAATCATGGCAAACAGCAACACAGAGAAAATGACAATAACGGTATAAAAAAGTAATCATAGTAGTAATAGTCACAATGGTAATATTCGAAATGATCGTATTAATCGTGATAATAGTGATAATGGTAAGTGTGGCAAAAGCAAAATCAATTCTATTAACGCTTAGAATTAGAATTCCCATAATTCTCATAATACTAAAGATACTAGCATAGTAGTAGCAGTAGCAGTAGGAGTAGTAGTAGTAGTAGTAGCAGCAGTAGTAGTAGTCGTAGTAGTCGTAGTAGTAGTGGTAGTGGTAGTGGTAGTGGTAGTGGTAGTAGTAGTAGTAGTAGTAGTAGCAGCAGCAGCAGTAGTAGTAGTAGTTGTGGTAGTAGTAGTGGTAGTAGTAGCAGCAGCAGCAGCAGCAGTAGCAGCAGTAGTCGTAGCAGAACGGCGTTTAGGGTATATAGGGCTTCTATAAGGCTTCTATAAGGTATTTAGACCTTCTACAAGGCTCCTATAAGGGTAGCTACCCACTTGAAAATGTCCTAGATGGTAGTAGTAGTAGTAGTAGTAGTAGTACTAGTACTAGTACTAGTACTAGTACTAGTACTAGTACTAGTAGTAGTAGTAGTAGTAGTAGCAGCAGTAGAAAAACAGTGATGATTGGAATAAATACAGGCTGCATGCCCGCAACGATGACGAAGGAACGGAGACTGTGTATTTAAGGTGTCTGATTGTTTTGCAGTTTCGGCAAGTCCTGCAAGCCCTCCCTGCCCTTACCCCAAACCCGCACCGCCACTGAAGCCAAGCGAAGCTGAGCCAACCCAAGCCAAGCCAAGCCCTTTTCAAGACTGCCTCCACTTTCCACTCAGCACAGATCGCAGTACCATCGATGCTCTACACACTACATACCAGAAGGGTTCGCCTTGTCTTGCTATCCGAATCAGACTGGAACGATGATCAGAGCAGGAAGGCTGTACATCCTGGTCAAAGTAAAACCTTGCAGCTTTTTTCTTTCGTAAATGATAAAACACAGTTTAGGTGTGGACTAGACTGCATTGTAATGCATGATAAGTACACAACGGTAAACTAGCATACACAGATGTAGTAGATTTTTATAGACTATAGTATCGCACAGCCTCATACGATTTCATACCGTCGTTTTGCACTGGACTGTATCAGAACACCATGCGTTGTGTTATCTCATGTGAGACTGTGGCTACAAAGTACAGCATACGGTCATGATGGACATTATGCACTGCTATGCTAGATTGTGTTGTAGCGTGTATACGTTATATTGTAAGAATGTTGTTTCAACTTCATAGAGGCTGCTTCGCCCCCACGATGACGAAGGCAGGAAGATTGCGCATTCAAGGCGTCCTGTGTTGTTTCGTAATGTATGCAAGTCCTTCCTTCCTGGCGGGTTTGCCTGGGCGGAGGGGGCAAGTCTTGGTAATATTTCTGTTCTTGCCATTGTTACTATTTGTGTTATGATTGCTGGTCTTATTATCCTTACTATTGTTCCTATTGCTGCTATGACATTATGAGGACTACCATTACTACTATTACTATTGTGACCATTGTTGCTGTTCTTTGTACTACTATAGAAATCATTACTCTTTCGTTCTTTCGTTCTGTCTTCCTTCGCTCATGTATTTGTTTATGCTTCCCCCTCTGTCTCTCATCCTTTCTGTCTTTCTTTCTGGCTTCTCTGTGTCTTTGCTTTATAGTCCTTCCTTTCTTTCTTTCTTTCGTTCTTTCCGTTGTTATTTCTCTCTTCCTTTCTGTACTTTCTTTCTAGCTCTTCTTGTGTACCCCTGTGCCACTTGCTAGTGTGTATGTCTTAGGCCTGAGAGTTGAAGGCATCTTCTTGGGCAGGAGGGATACAGTTTGATCGAATCCACGTCAGCTTTGATCCGATATGATATTTCAATATCTCCTAAATAAGATAACATACGATTCGATATATAAAGTCTGCCGTAAAGCACAACCACATCACACACGAAAAGCCTGCAAACGTAGACGTCATGCACGAAGTGCCTTCAAGTTCTAAAGACGTACACGAAGAGCCTGCAACTCCGCACAAGCCGCGCTCAAGAAGACTCTTTAAATCCTCTCGCATTACCCCTTGCCATAGGCCCCATACCCTTAGCCTCAACCAGCCCCAAACCCCAACCCCAAAACCTGCAAATACCTTATGCTGCGTGTAGACAGCATACAAACCCTGTCTAACGAAAAAGCCCTACTCCCCTGAGCGCTGAACGAACCCCAAACCGCACGCCGTGCACCGATCATAACACCTGAACAAATATCGCGTGATCATCTCATTCGCCGCCATTGTGCCGATATTCCAATCATATCATTATCTCATATTCAAAACCGTGCTGCTTCACACAGCTTATGCATAAACCGTGCAAGGACAGGCACTTCACAAGGTGGTGCTGAGACGAGGCAGCCAAGTACTTTAAGAGGAGCTTCACGTAAGAGTGTCACATATGCCCGCTTGGTCATCACTGCAACTCTTGCGCATCGAGGTTCAGTTGCTGTAATTGGGCCCTCAATGACTCTGGATCCTTCAAATCTCCAGATTGCGTCACAGCATCGAGACCTCGCAGATGGGAGTTTGGAGAAAACCACGCAAACAGAAACAGACACGTGAAGCCGTCCGCTGCCAAGGAGCCGAGCATCACGAAGACCTCCACCGCCTGGAGCCCAGTCAGGTGGAACTTAGCAAAGCCTGCGGATCTCTAGAAGCTGAGCTCCCGGCATCTGCCCATGCAGCAAGGAGCAGTGTCGCGAGCAACCGCTTCATGAAACGACTTCTATGGGATCAACTCTGGCAACAAGCTATGGCTGCGGTGTCAGGATCGCATCTCCCCCGAATCAATCGCAAGACCGCCAGCGCCCGGCATTAATTCAGAAGCTGGGGATGCGGCCGAGCCTCGCTTTCCTGGCTGCGCATCGCTGCGCAGGCCGCTCGAACCTGCTGAAACTTGGAAGCCCTACTACAAGCTGCGACCATCCTGCAGCGTTGCGTGGAAGCATCGGGCTGAAGTCTGCACACACCGAAGCTATCACCGAACACTGCCGAAGCTCCGTTGCCTCCCCAGGAATAGTTGGTGCCATTTCATGCTTCCAGCATGGTTGCCCTCTAGTTTTGTATCGAAGCCATTCTGAATCGCATTTCAGCTGATCTCTCGTGCTGCATGCCGGCTGTGATTGCCAACTGGGTGATACTGGGTGGTGCCTACAGTAACCTTCAGTCTGCGACTGCAGGTTTGAACGGAGCTACAGCTACGCGGCTACGCAGCTGCAAAAAAGCTCGTTTCAAATTGTGAGCGGCCTTTTGCTGCATCGACCATGTAACAGGGGCAGCACAACTTTTTCTCGGCACATGAGGCAGCCATTCCCCGTCGTTGCCCCTAGAATGTGGGATCTACGACGTCTGTACACGCAGATCCCTGTATATCCGCGAAGTATATGAAGTATGCAGTGCATCGCTTGCAAGTCTGCGTACCACGGCTTGAAAGCGCTAGCCACTGCCAGACGATGCATCGAATTGCCCTCCCAAGAATGCTCAGGTTTTCTGAGCACAAGCTGAAAGACCCACCCAGTTACCTTTTGGCCACGATAATGTAGATAGCCTGCTATGATAACTCGAGCGGGCAAGCAGGCACCTCTGCAAAGGAAACCAGATGATATTGAAATAGCCTTGCCGGTATTCGACATGTGCCAACGGTATTGATCCTCAAGACGTGGCACGTCTGAAGCAAAACTTTATCGACTTGAACATTCGCAAACCTACTGCAGCACACACACACACACACGTCGTAAGCGTTGGTTCTCGTCTGAAGGTTTCTCAGCACAGCGTAGCAGTCGCCACCGCGAACTCGAAACCGGCATCTGAGATGTTGACCTTCCTTGGACATCCCAGCCACACAAAACCAATGAGTCACCAGAACCATGTAATGGCCCTCGTGCACTTGAACGGGGCTCACGTACAATGACGTCCATCTGCCTATCCGGGCCTATCCACTGTTTACAGATGGCAGAGTCTAACCTTCGTCATCCGGTACGACATTGTGCAAAGGCAATGTTGGGCAGTTTCGGTCGCTCCACGCAAATTCACAGCAACAGCAGACGGTCAACAAGTAGGGACCTGGATGAGTTTCACAGCTTTGCAACCCCAAAAACACCCCAAGACGGAGAATCGGACTGCACTTTGCGTAGGAAGGGCTCCCTTCATGTGCAAAGTGCCGCCGGATCTTCCGCTCCGTAACCAAAAGCTCCACAAACCGGAGAATCGGACTGCACTTTGCGTAGGAAGGGCTCCCTTCATGCGCAAAGTGCTGCCGGATCTTACGTTCCGTACCCGAAAACACCCAAGACGGAGAATCGGACTGCACTTTGCATATGAAGGGCTTCTTCCTTTCTGTGCAAAATGCAGCCGGATCGTCCGCAGGGGCAGCGCAGGCAGGGGTGGGCAGGGGTGGGGGTGGGTTTGCGGGCAGGGGTGGACAAAGGCAAAAACGAATTAGTGTCAGGCACTACCTCCAAAATGGACAATAGGGTAGGCTACTCTCGCGGGATGGGGTTCTTGTACAGGGATTTCGCTGTAGCACTGCGAGGACAGCACAACGGTACTGTTTTTGAAGCTCTATCGCTCCGCGCTTTGATCGTGGGCGTCATTGTTTGTAGCAGCACTGTCAACGATGCTGATACAGCCACAGCCGCTTGTTTGCAGACAGCCCTGTGCTTCCATGCAAGTGCACAAACGACGAGCAAGCAGGGAGCGATAGATTCACCTTGCCTGGGCAAAACTTGCTCAAAACACGCAACAGCCAATAGCAAAAAATGAGAGTGCAAAAACACCTCGCATTTGAGGAGAATTTGAACGAGTGTGCTCTGGCAGGCCCAAGCCGGTGGCAGGCGCCAGCCCTGTATGTGCCGGACCACGACTAGCTTCATAAACCCGTGCAGGCACCGAGACCCATCGACCACAGAGCTTCGACCACACAGCTTCAAGTTGCTCACCATGAACCCTGCTTAGCACTTTGCGCGGATTCTGTGCCAAGCCAAGCAGCCCGTTGCTGCTGTCTGCTGGCACTCCACGGCCCCAGAGGACCGGTGAGATCGCCACGCCTTTCACTGCGGAACATCCCGATTCGCAAGTGGTTCGCCGCTTCGCTTCACTCGAACCACTTCCCTTTTCGAGAGGCTTTGGTCGTGGCCTGGACCTCCACTGAGAGCCTCATCACTGCTTGTGATGAATGCCGGGCCACGAAGGTCCGTGATTTGGCCATCAACCTGAACACATCAAAAACACATGAAAACCTGTGAAAGTATGTGACATATGTGACATGTGGCATGAAATGGCTGCTCAGCTTGGCCAGCGGCCTTGGACAGAGCCGTGTATCTTTGTACGATAAACCTTGGACAACGACACTCTCGAAACTGCACCGGGTGGAATCTTGTGTGACAGCCCCCTGCGAGATTCACGGCACCTTGAAGATTCAGCTAGAGCTCATATGAGCTCATCAGCAGGTTCTAATTAGTCTGAAATCAAGCCCACTGCTGCGCCAAACCTCTGCCTCTGTTCGAGTCCCAAGCAGAGTACTTACTGTCCACAACTTTGCAGACCCTGCACCGGGTTCATGCAGAGATTTGCACACTTATTGTAGATTCACGCAGCGAAACGGTGCGTGAGAGGACGGCCCCAAACCCGAAGCCCCACAGAGATGAACACGTAAACCCTAACACTAGATGAGCTGTAGAAGCCTCGTCAACAGGAGAGAGGGGATGGCAGGTAGGAGAAAACCAAGTCGGGATTGTGGGAGATGGCACATTCGTGAATCAATCGCCGGGGCTCGAATCGCACGAGTGATTGATTCAATCATGCGTGCTCCATGGCTGTGCTACAACTACTACACTCGTTTGAACCACCAGTGCTTAAATCGCAGCCCTCGACTGTGATCACCCCTGTGTGTCACAGCTGCACTTGCAAGACGATTTCGACCTGAAACGGCCGGAAGGCGGTGTCATACCGTGGAAGGCGAGGGGTGGCAGATGCAGGAGGCATCGAAAAGTATGGGGTGCTCCCTCAGAATCACTGTTACACCCCGTTTGCGCTGGCAGGCCGTCCAAAGCCCAAAGCATTTTCTTGAAACAAAATGCCACCGCCGAACTGGTACTCTGCCGAGGCACGCTTCAGGCTCAGCAGCCACGAGCGACCGTGCTGCCAGAAACCTAAGGCAATTTGAATTCTGGACATCTAGATTCTGCTTGTAGCACCGCCCTTGGAAGAAGAACGTTGCATTATTCTGCTTGTCAATTTTCCAGCACCCTCCAGCTTACCGAGTCGAGGTTCTCTTGGCGCGGCAGCTTTGCCCCCACCCAAACTGCATTGCCTCGCGACAGAACATCCACTCTCCCAAATCCCCGCTGCGCCATGAAGACCACACAATTTCGCCCCGATCCTGCCTCCGCGACCATCCACGCGCTTGACCACAACGTTGGGCTGTGTGCCTCCGTTTTGCCAAAACCACGCTCATCAGCATGTGGACGTAACACTGTAGTTCTACAAACCATGGACATCATTAAGGGTCTTGGGTGGAGGCGGCTATTCCATTTTGTTGCTAAAGCGCTGGGAATGTCGAAGACGGAGTGGATCAGATCAGCTTCCCCTGCGAAGCTCCGGGTGGGGATCGTGCGAAGAAGCGGCTCCTCCGCATGTTGTGACAGAGAGAGAGATAGAGAGATAGATAGATAGATAGATAGATAGATAGATACACAGATAGACAATACATAGAAGGCCGCTAAGCTCGCTCGTAGCTGCTGCGTGGGGTTATCGACGAGGGCAAATGACAAAACTGGCTAAGAGCAACCGAAAGCACGATAATAGTGTATTGTCCAACGTCGCTGCGGTCTCGAACTCTCTTGCAAGCTTACTACTATCTCCGCCGCATCTCTTCCGTCCAGAGGTAATAGCGCGGTCTTAGAGAAGAAGCAAACGGTGCAAAACCAAACTCCAGACGCCAAACCCCCTGTCAAGGATTCATGTTCGCAACACCACTTCCTCACCGAGGTAATGCCGAATCAGCTGGTCCATGTAAGAGCACAGCTCCTGCTGGAGGCATTGAAAGATCTTAGAATCTAATCGTCTCTGTCTATCAGAGCTCCCTCCCAAAAACTCCTTGTCTTCCACCAAAATCAAACCAGGACCGTTGGCGACCTGTGCATCTAATCTGCCGCAAAGCAAGCCAGTGCCTAGACTGTTTTGCTCTGGCTCTGGGCACCTTGACCCTGCCTTTGTAGTATGCTTCCAAGAGCCCCGGGACCTTTCAGCACGTTCGCATGGCTGCACCACTGCCTTTTCTGACAGGGCTCTTTGATCTTTGAGCTTCCGGCACCCTGCTTGCCCTCCATGAGGCGCTGCCATCCCTCCTAAAAGAAAGCACATGCATACGACACCTGCACCGCGACATATGCCTGTCGGCTTTGCCTTGTCGTCCCGGCGCAGAACACGGAAGAGCTGATCGCCTGCATCAGATCAGCAAAATGATCTCACACGGAGAGCCACACACTAAACTGCCAAGCAACGTGCATTCTTGCTATCGCGCTCACCAATCACCTAAGTCACGGAACAACAAAATGAGGTGGGGAGCTTTCGGCTGGGAGCCCGTGGGCTTCGCTTCGGCCCCGGCCTGGCCGACAGACTCCACGGCTTCGCGCAACTCCGCGGCGCAGCGGCGCGCCCGCTCCGCCTTCCCGCTTCTGCAGCTAACAGAGCAGGTGCATCCAGAAAGCTGACGTGTAGGTGTTTCTTCTTGGTTGCTGACAGGCACTACCGTCCCGGAGACGAGACCATCCCAGTCCAAACCGTAATCCAAGGAGATCATGCACCGAGAATCACCGAGGGCTGTCAGCAGGGAACGAGAGGTGAGCACGAAGGTGGACCCCATCAAAGAACAGGAAATCTGAGGGACGCCCTTGTAGCCCCCCAACAGGTACACAATGGGTGGTTGGCTGCTTCGACACTGGACTGTCTGAGCAGCCACGGCCACAGAACCCTCCAAGGTCCAAACCTCGATCGGGTGGTCGCTCATCTGCCAAGCCTGTTCCAGCTTTTTCAAGCCTGAAACAGAGGGACGCATGCGTTTTCTCGAGATGGCTCATGGTGCAGGTCTTCAGGACAGCTGGAGAGCTTGGTGCAGTCGTGCCTTCTGCATCTGGCTTATAATGGTAAGACTCGCCGAAGGTCAGCCTGCCAGATCCTGCATTGTACCTAATCGGGCCATCAATGCGCTCGCTTTGGTTGGTATTCTTGTCTGTCCACGTCCAGATGAGCTTGCCCCCTTTCATCTGTAGCGAGCTCTTGTTGCCATCTGTGTCCAGAAACTCAACCTTGGCCTTCATGGAGACTAAAGACTTTTCGTTTCTTGAGGCCTTCATCACCTCTTTCTTCTCCATCTCTTCGTATGCACTGATTCGACTGCGAGCCTCGTCAATCGCCGAGCGGAGCTTTGTGCTGGGATGTCCTGGCTGAACATCCGTGGGTTCGGACAGCAAAACCACCAGCCCAACAGGCTCTTCGTGCGGAGCCGGCTGCTTCACAGGTGACCCCCGCCGCCGCACTGGGCGGCGGTCGGAGCCGAGGTCTTTCTGAGAGGTTGTCGTTTTCGCCGGAGCCAAGAGGACGCGGCCGTGGCGGACTAGCAGCCTGGGCTGATCTTCACGGGGGCCTTTCTCGTCTGGCAGTTGCACCGGCACGAGGCCTTTCTGCCTCAAGAGCGTCACAAGCCGGCGATCTTCGTTGTCGTCCCGGACGGAGCGGTGGTAGTACAGAACGACCACCTTCTCCCCCTCGGCGACCTGCACAGGTTGCGCCTAATTCCGAGGACAGTGCTGGTTTCAAGATGGCAGGTTTGCCACGACTCACAGAAGTTGTAGCTGAACTGCTGCATCTACGAGGATACCCGCTGAGCTTGCCAAGGGGGCCTGGCGCTTGTAGTGATTGGCCATCTCTTCGTAGAGGCGCTCGGCATTCGCAGGCTCCAAGTGGGGCTTCAGCTCCGGGAAGCCTTTTGAACCGTTGGCCTCTCCCAGCAGAACCTGCCGCGCAAGGGGCAGGTCTCCGAAGCCACCAACATAGCCCAAGTTGTCCTCTACAACATAGAACTCATGGCCATGCTCGCAAGGTCCACGGATGATGTCTGGACCATACCAGATGTTCCAGTAGAGCTTCTTTGAATCCGCTTCCTTCTGTACTAGGTTCTGAGTCCATTGCTCACCAGCTCGAGCTGCGATTCGATTGAAGACATCACGAGGCAGTGCTCCACTCCGCACACAGCCCAACTGTCCAACTTTCATCTCTTTCCTGCTGTTGACATCCATCACTAGCCGTCGCAGAGCCTGCGCTCGCTGCGCTACTCCTGCGGTAATTTTCGCAGCCTCAGAGCCAGCAAAAAACAGCAAGCGGAAGGCTCACGCTGAACCTTTTTCCGGCGGCCTCCGGCTGTGTAAGCATCCGCGGGATGTGGTACAATCGATTGTCGCCCTTGAAGCATTTCCTCAGACTCGGCATGAGTTCTAGCGCACCGTCCCCGACTCCAAGTGCAATGTCCAGTGTGCCCAGAATCTCAGACTCGGCTTTGAAGTCATTGATGCCTGGGCGAAGCTGACTGAACCCCAAAAGAACTTCTGCAAACGTGCTTTCGGCAATCTGTTGCGTTGCCAGGAAGCGTCTGGGCTTGCGATTCAGAATCTGGTCCATCTCCTTTATGACGCCCGCATAGGCTGCGCGGCAGTGTCCTCCAGCCCATCGGTGCTCTTTGCTCACTGGTCACTGGTAGCTAGCTCAGCGATGCTCAGCGATGCTCAGCGATGCTCAGCGATGCTCAGCGATGCTCAGCTGCCTTTCTCGTCCCGCATCTCGTCATAGGGCTCGGCCTTGGCGGCTCCAGGCCAAAGCCTCAGAGGGGCAACAGAGCAGTCAGACTTGCGACTTGCGACCGCTGTGATGTCAGCTGCCATTATAGCAGAATTAAAGCACATTCCAGCTCGTCATCTTCGATATCGTGCAGTCGCCATTTGCCACCAGCAACCCAACGGTGACATCGGGCAGGGCGCGGCGAGCTTCCTGTCAGGCCGCCAGCATCTAATCCATGGGCCCTGGACCCAACAAATCAGGAAGAACCAAAACCGAGCTGGCCAGTGGCTATCCCAACAGCACTTTGTCCGTCTTTATCTGTTGCCAAAAAAAAGTTTGGCAGAGGGAAGGAAAGCATTGTAATAGCACGATGAGCTGCCTCCGCAAGCGCCTCAATCGCATCAGCCAGCTCCTTGGACGGCTTCCAGCCTCATAACAACCCAGGGAAGCAAAGGTGCCAATCACCGGATAATTTATGAAAGCATGTTTCTTTACTCCTGGGTGCCTGCCGCCCAGTGACCATTCTGAAGCTGTGCAGCACCGTTCTCCGAGTGGTTACTCTTCGAGGCCTGCCACTCCCAATGTGCAAGTCAGAAACAAGGCAGTGCACAGATATTACAATGGCAGTGCGAAGTCTACTGCAGTCAATGTGTTAACGCAATGCAAAGTCTCGAGCTCCGTCAATCCCGGAACACTACGGCAATCTGTGGTCAACGTGGCAAAACCCTCAGCCCAGCTTGAGGATGCTATTCCGAGTCTCCTTTCCTGCCGGAGCTCGCCAACAAGCAGCGAACAAACGTGACGATCAATGCTCTTCGCAGTCCAATCACGCACCTGCAAGCATTGCAGCAAGACGCTGGCAGCAGCCACGTCCTTCAAGTCAGCGGCAAACATGCAGCACTTTTCAGTGAGCACTAAAGAGCATTAGCGAGGAGACAGTGTCCCAGTGTCCTCTGGTTTGATCTCCCCGCTTATGGCCGGCATCTTCAAAAGGTCATGCCAATGCGCAAGAGATAGTGAGGAGATGTCAAAAGGTCATGGCTCGGGAGCATCTCCAACTTCGGGTCTGGTCATAACTTCGTGACGGTGTGAACATAGAGCTTCTAGGGATGCTGCACAGCGCTACGCATCCATGCATGCCAGAACGCCCGCCCAAACCATCTGGCTAGAGTTTTCTCTGTCGCTTGCGCGAGACTCGCCGGCGAGCTGCGGGGATCTGAGGAGGAGTCGTCTTGACTCGAACCTCTTCAAGGAGTTAAGAAGCGGCTCTCACATCGGCAACAATGGAAGCACTGTCGTGCCGTCGCCATTTTGATCAAGCCACTCAAAGATCTCATCGCTTTGGAGCTCTCGAGATACTAATGTAATCTGTCACGTACACGACTTCTTCGAAGATGTCAGGCTCGTCGAAAGCCTCGTACGGCGGCCTCCCGGAATGGTCATGAACGTTTGCATGCCAACAACACCAGAGTCGAGGCATGCAACATTGCAGACATGGCAGCGCTTCGATACGGGCTCTAAAAAGCGCCCTACATCGATGCGTAGCAGCAGCATGGAATCTTGCAGAATTAGCGGCGGGTTACCAAGCTGTGTCTCCGATAAAGCATGAGAAAGGCTGTGCGTCTTGTTATTGATGTTATTGTTCATATGGCTTCTGAGTAGAACTCAATTGCCATCATTCTTGGCTGTATCCTTCGTGAATGTCAATACAAATATGGAATTTGCAGGGCTCGTGGAAACATTCCAGAACCCCTGCAACTACTACTTCACGTTACTAAGGGCCGCGGGCGGTTGAAGCCAGCCTCTCGTGTTCAATGTCAGATTTACTGTCCCCTCAGCGTGGCTCTTCAGGCCTGTCCGCCGGACCGCTGGACTCCACACTGTAGAGGACACAAAGGTCTTCTTTGCTGTCCCTGTCCAGCAAGTGCTGCACGGGTTCTGTAAAGAGTCTGCACACAAACCATAAAAGCAACCATGTTCACACCCGGCCTCATGCTCTTGGCTGCCAGTACTTTGCCGAACTTCGGTGGATTTAACGTTCCGATGCTCTGTGAAAAAACGTAGTCCTGCAGCGCACACTTGCCCTCAATTTCGTTCTCTGGACGGCAGGATCTCTCACGGATTTCCAGATTGCATTGTGGCTGAACACCGTCCCAGTATGACCCCAGAGTTGTTATCATGCCACACTCGAGTACGGGCGGTGCATGGTGGTGCCATGCTGTCCCAGTGCAGATACAGCATTTAGCGTGCGCAAACCCCAACTCCATGTTGTCGAGTCCTTCAGCAGGGCCTCCAGCTTGGGGATGTCAACCTCCTCGCGGAATTTCACATGTTTGCGAAAGCCTTCCGGTACTTCGGACGCCCGCTCATGCATGGACAAAGCCCTCACCAAAACCCACACAGAAAACCAAGGCGTTTACCAAGTGCACGACAGGAAAGCCTCATGAAGGATGTCAAGCATCCAAGCATGCTGCCCAGATGCCCCGGAGTCCGTCCTTGTCAAATTCCCCAGTCGCTGGCCGGTCGGATGCCGGCACTGACAGAGCGGGCAAGAGCTCGACCTTTTTGGAGACAGCCCTACGCCTACACAATGTGTGAAGCCTTTGATTTGCTCGGGGCTCTGTTCTGTCGATTCCCAGATGGCCCCGGCCTTCTCGGCAGAGTCGCTCATGGCGACCCAGCGTGTGCTGTCAACTTTGGCCACGAAGACTATAGTGCGCGAGTGCATCTTGTAATGCGTCTGGGCTTCGAGTTTCAAGCCTTGTATCCTTCACGCATGTGATTCTTACTTCCTGAGTTTGAACCAAAACGCGACCACGCTTCGGGCTTGCTAGAGCTGCTAGCTGCTAGAACAGGTTGTCAGGGCTGAGGAGCCTGAGCCGTAAGCCCATCGTGCGTGCGCACAGACAGCGATGGCTTGCCCGAACGAGCGAAGACATGTGAACAGCGTGGTTTCAAAACATCGTGTGGCCACATACCCATCGAACTGCACGGTTTACCGAAAGAATATCTGATTTGCGCTGCTATGCATAACCTGGCCAGTGCAGGGAGGCTGCAAGTGATGGCCAAAAAGCGTTTCATCGCACACAAACAGCAAGAGCATGCGGTACTGGCTGGATGCTCTATCTAGACTCTAGACTCACCAGGCGCATCAAGATCAGGACTAGGGGTTCTGTTGCGGGGCGGGTGCTGATGCAGCGGCCGCAATTTTGACCGCTCTCAGAGAACGCAACCAGGTCGGCACCGCAAGTGACCGAACATCAACGGATGATCCGTGGCATCTTGATTCAAGAGCCCGGAGCCATACCGCAAGAGCATTTTCGAGTAGAACATCTTTAAAAAAACGAAACCGGAAGCCCAAGCTTGGACTGTTTCACAGGTGCTGTCGGAGCTCAAAGACCCTCTCAGTCCTCCTGATGCCTGCAACATGCCAGCTGATGACCGACATACTGGCAAGACATGTCTGTTGCCGTCCTTAAGGATAGGTACATGGTCAAATGCGTTATACGACTAATGAACCACAAGCACGATGCTGAAGCATGCAAGAGCCTGTTCGGATCATGGATGAACTTCCAGTGAAGCTGCTTCGCCTAGCCGTTGGCATGCAAAGCATCAAGCTATCAAGATGCTCGCACGACGGTGCGCTGCACGGACTCGCATTAAGCTGCCTTCTCGGAGTCAAATTTCTGTCGGCATTCTGGGCCTAGGCCGTGCAAGCGCTGTGCACCACTCTTTCCTGTTCTCACGATAAACGCACTCTAAGGCCCATGACATTGGAAGGTGCCCGTCATCTTGATGCCAACCTGCACCCACCATCGTGCAGCTGCCCAACAGCAACACTCATCTTAGCAGCCAAGCTCTGAGGAGCAAGCGTTAGTCGTGGTTCCGTCGCCAGACTTCGCGGCATCGCTGATCTCCCTGAGGCGGCAGACCACAGCACTGAAACTTCGGACATCCACTCCCAAGGTCCCCTGCATTGTCTCGGGCATGATGCCTCTCAAAAGCATGAGATCGGAGGCTAAGTAAGGTTTGGCAAGACAAGAATCGCAAACCTTCCAAAGTTCCAGCAAGCAGCCGCGTGTGAGATGCCCCTTTTTACGCTGCAAATGGCTGTGGGATGCTCGAACGCTCGGGCGTGCTCGGGCTGCACGGCCGGGCTGCTTCGATCACCCGTAAATAAAACAAGCGGGCTTCCGAAAGAGCATGTGCGAGTGAAACATTCCACATGACAAACCAAGCTAAACAATGGTAAAAGATTATGGACAAGTACACTGCAACAGGCCGCAAATTCCTCCTGCCGCAAGTACCTGAAAGTCAAATTCGGGACAGATGCTCGGAATGCACAATCTACTTGCAACGCTTCAATTGAAAGCACTTGCCACCGCTGGTACTTATATAAAGGCTGGGTTTGGAGCGCACCCCCAACCAATTTTGACAGCGATATTCGCCCCCAAACACGATTGTTCGCCTTTTCAGCTCCAACCATTCTTTCAAGCGATTGCTAATCAACAATCATTTGCCCATTTTTTCGAGCTATCAAAAGCACCATGTGCAAAGAAATTGACATGTCGACCAGACCAAAAACAAACTGAGATCGGAAGCGCCCTACCAACTGGGTTGAATGCGAAGCAACAAAAACTGTTTGCGCACGTTATTCTTGTTTTTCTTTGGGGGATGTGGAAGACATGTATAATGCTCAGTACGTCAGTACGTCTGCAAAAGCATGAAAACGGCAGCGAGTTCCCAGCCCATGATGCGTGCTTGCAAAAGTGCAGAGCTTCTCACTTGACCATGCAATACGCTGTTTTGCTAGGAGCCAGCATAATAAATCCTGAAAGGCGATCTCGCCTGGCACATTTGGCAAGCCATCGCCGTCGTTTTGACGAGATGGCGGTGGCAGCTCGTCTAGGCAGCCCCAGTGCTCCACCCAGCTTCGATGGAGCGATCGGCTGCATAGAGCTGCTGAAAAGAAAACCCGCACCTCCTCTGGATTCAACCTCGGT